AAAGGGCATGTAACAGGCGGTGAGGAGGTGTTATGTCACTTTCTAACTGTCTGTTGTAATCCTGCAATGCTGCACAAACACCCTGCGCTGTAGAGACAGGAGCAGCCTGCACAAGAGAGAAACAAATCTCAATAAATAAATATATGAGAAGTGCAGCGCATGAAAACATATGAAGTGAATAATAAACCAATTCAGTGACAGAAAAAAAAATTATATATATATAAATTGAATATAAATGAAACTCAGTGTGACCAAAAAAATAATAAAAAAAAAAAAAAAAGCCCTTCCAATATAAATCTGTACATCGGTGGTATGATAATAGCAATCACAGCAAATAGTGCTCAGTCCCACGCAGGGCTCTGAAATCCAATGTGCGATCCGCCACCACTATGCACTCACCAGAGAGCGACTTGTGTGTCATGGGGTCTGTACCATCCACTCTCTGGAGGCTCTACTGGTCCGGTTCAATCCCAACGGAAGATGCTCCCCACACGGAGCCCGGAGATCGCTCTATAGTGTGGTATTTATTTAAAAGTAATCCATAAAAACATTCCACGTGGAGAAAAAAAAAATAGTATTCCACATACCAAAATGACCACCGTTGCGGAACAGGGACACAGCGGCGTGATGTCAGCACGTACGGTCCATCTAACGCGTTTTGTGCACACACACGTCCTCAGGGGTACACCCAATCCATGAATTGCACATGGTTGTGGTGCAGCCCCTTTGAGCTCAATGGCTGAGTTTCACAAGTGGTCTCTTTCAGACTGGGGTGGTGAAAACAGGCAGCTGAGCTGCAGTTTTACATCTCCCCAACTCCCATCTCCCCCCTGCTACCCGCAGGTGCACATCAGAGCTAAAAAAAAAAAAAAAAATGGCTGGCGTGGCTGTGCACATGGCGTGGTTGTTCATATGGTGTGGCTGTGCACATGGCGTGGTTGTTCATATGGCGTGGCTGTGCACATGGGGTGGTGGTTGTTGTTCACATGGCGTGGCTGCGCACATGACGTGGTTGTTCACATGGCGTGGCTGTGCACATGGTGTGGCTGTTCACATGGCGTGGCTGTTCACATGGCGTGGTTGTTCATATGGCGTGGTTGTGCACATGGCGTGGTTGTTCATATGGCGTGGCTGTGCACATGGTGTGGCTGTTCACATGGTGTGGTTGTGCACATGGCGTGGTTGTTCACATGGTGTGGTTGTTCACATGGCGTGGCTGTGCACATGGCGTGGCTGTGCACATGGCATGGCTGTGCACATGGCATGGTTGTTCATATGGCGTCGCTGTGCACATGGCGTGGTTGTTCACATGGCGTGGTTGTTCATATTGCGTGGCTGTTCACATGGCGTGGTTGTTCACATGGCGTGGTTGTTCATATTGCGTGGCTGTTCACATGGCGTGGCTGTTCACATGGCGTGGCTGTTCACATGGCGTGGTTGTGCACATGGCGTGGTTGTTCACATGGCGTGGTGTTCACATGGCGTGGTTGTTCATATGGTGTGGTTGTTCACATGGCGTGGCTGTTCACATGGCGTGGTTGTTCATATGGTGTGGTTGTTCACATGGCGTGGCTGTTCACATGGCGTGGTTGTTCACATGGCGTGGCTTGTTCACATGGTGTGGTTGTTCACATGGCGTGGTTGTTCACATGGCGTGGTTGTTCACATGGCGTGGTTGTTCACATGGTGTGGCTGTTCACATGGCGTGGTTGTTCACATGGCGTGGTTGTTCATATGGTGTGGCTGTTCACATGGCGTGGCTGTTCACATGGCGTGGTTGTTCACATGGCGTGGCTGTGCACATGGCGTGGTTGTTCACATGGCGTGGTTGTTCACATGGCGTGGCTGTGCACATGGCGTGGCTGCGATGCTTTCCTTTAACTCGGGGTACAGAGTACGACAAGCAGCACCATTTTTCAGACTTGCCCATTAGGTTCTGTGGGGCTGATAGTACATGAGGGTTAAATCAGGCGGTAAGGAAGTGGAAAAAAAAAAAAAAAAAAACCTCCTTACCGCCTATCAAATGTCAAACACAGATTGCTCTTCAGAGGGCACCACACTCCACCGTGAGTGACTGGGAGCCCAAACTCTGCCCCCCCCCTGCCAAGTTAATAATGCCACAGGGTGTGTACAGCTGTATTATGACAGTTCAGGTGGATTGCTGGGGGTGGTAATACTGCAGCTAGGCCACCTGTTTTTACCTCCCCCCCGGTTGCCCCATTTGATAGAGCACTAAAGCACCTATATCACCTACATACAGGACTAGGGGAAGCATGAACCAGTGTGGGCTTTTCTTTTTTTTTTTTCCGGAGAACGGCGCTCAACGGCAGCACAATGCGCTTCATCAACAAAACACCCGATAAAAATCCCGATTAGAGCTTTGCCAAAACCATATTGCCAACAAGGAGGACGATCGTCGGCCAGAGCCACCAGCCAATAGACCGCGGTCAGCCGCTGCCAGGATCCCTCCGACAGACTGGCCACTCAGAACAGGACGAACATGCCGCCAGACACGGTCAGACGCAGGCAAGCATTATGTGATGTGCAATCCAAACAACACAATAATATTCCAATGTAAGAGCTTTCCTGGCAGATCCTCAGAGGAGCCGGAGTGCCTACCGCCAGTCAGAAGAGCAAAACATACAACGGGCTGGAGGCAGGAACATCGGGCGCTGAACTAAAGCGGCACTCCGCCCCGGCAACAGCACCGACCAAGGGCCGCACTTTGCTGCTTGTGCTGGAAATCACAACTCCTGGGTTCAAACGGCGAGAGAATAGACGGGAGAGGAATGTGCTGACATCACTGAGAATGCCAAAGAAATGATCGATCTCGGGGAAAACACCGGGGAGCAGGAAGGATCATTTCCTGACAATGGATCATTTGAGATGAAATATGAACAAAGCCTATCCCTTTATGCAGGGCTCAACAAATCCCAGGCGCCAGGTCGACATGGCAAGTAGAAATTGTGTCCTGGCACCTGGCCTCCCATTGACTATGATTCAAAAATCGCATCCCATTGACCTCAATGCAAAATCGTGTCCCATTGGCTTCAATGCAAAATCATGTCCTATTGACTTCAATGCAAAATCGCATCCCATTGACTTCAGTGCATAAACACCTCCTATTCACTTCAATGCAAAATCACATTCTATTGACTTCAATGCAAAAACACCTCCCATGGACTTCAATGCAAAAAAGCCCCTATTGACTTTAATGCAAAATCGCATTCCCATTGACTTCAATGCATCAACGCCTCCGACTAACTTCAATGTAAAATTGCGTTCTATTGACTTCAATGCAAAATCGTGTCCTATTGACTTCGGTGCATAAACACCTCCTATTAACTTCAATGCAAAACCACATTCTATTGACTTCAATGCAAAAACACCTCCTATGGGCTTCAATGCAAAAACGTCCATATTGACCTCAATGCATAAATGCCATCTATTGACTTCAATGCAAAATCACATTCCCATTAACTTCAATGCATAAACGCCTCCTACTGACTTCAATGTAAAATTGTGTTCTATTGACTGCAATGCAAAATCACATCCCATTGACTTCAGTGCATAAACACCTCCTATTGACTTCAATGCAAAATCCCCTCCAATTTACTTCAATGCAAAATTGCATCCCATTGATTTCAATGCAAAATCACATCCCATTGGTTTCAACGCAAAATCGCATCCCATTGACTTCAGTGCATGAACGCCTCCTATTAACTTCAATGCAAAATCCCATTCTATTGACTTCAATGCAAAAACACCTCCCATTTACTTCAATGCAAAATCGTGTCCCATTGATTTCAATGCAAAAATCGCATCCCATTGATTTCAATGCAAAATTGCATCCCACTGACTTCAATGCATAAATGCTTCCTATTGACTTCAATGTAAAATTGCATTCTATTGACTTAAATGCAAAATCGCATCCTTTAGATTGTAAGCTCCGCAAGCAGGGCCCTCCTATTCCTTCTGTACTGAAATGTATTGTAATTGTATTGTCTCCCTTTATATTGTAAAGCGCTGAGCAAACTGTTGGCGCCATATAAATCCTGTATAATAATAATAATCCCACTGACTTCAGTGCATAAATGCCTCCTATTGACTTCAATGCAAAATCACATTCTATTGACCTTAATGCAAAAACACCTCCTATTGACTTGTATGCAAAATTACATCCCATTAAACTTCAATGCATAAACGCCTCCTATTGACTTCAATGTAAAATCGCATTCTATTGACTTAAATGCAAAATGCTTCCCATTGACTTCAATGCAAAGCCACCTCCTGTTGACTTCAATGCAAAATGCTTCCCATGGACTTCATTGCAAAACCCCCTAAAAAAATGATGAAAATTTGGTTTGGGTACAGTGTTGCATGACCGCGCAATTGTCATTCAAAGTGCGAAAGCACTGAAAACTGAAAATTGGCCTGGACAGGAAGAGGGTAAATGTGCCCGGTAGGCAAGTGGTTAACAATGAGATCCCTCTGATGCTTTGGAAGCTCTCTGCGGACCATGGCTTTTGCTGTAGGATGCGACTAAGAAAATGTCAGGAAAGACCGACTAGAACAGCTGAACTTTATTTGGGGTTTATCAGAGGCACTTTAAATGCTGGCGGGTTTGTACTGACTCCTATTTAACATGATTTTAAATGTGATTGCTTCATTCTGAACACAGCTACATCCCCAGTTATAAGAGGGTGTGCACACTTATGCAACCACATTATTTTAGTTTTTTTATGTTTACTCCCCCCCCCCCCCTAAAATATTTCAGTTTGGTTTTCAACTGAGTTGTACAGTTTATAGGTCACATTCACCCTGGGTTCACACTGATGCAGTGCGGCATGTCGCATGTGATTCGCATAGGAACCGAACCGCATTCCTGCTGCAAATCACATGCGAAATCATACATTTTGTATGGCTCAAATCGCACTGCACCCGCACTAAAAAGGAGCAGGACCCTACTAGAATCGGATCACATGGGTATTCACACCCATGCATGGGGCGGACTGACCATTTGGAAACTCAGGCACTGCCTGAGGGCCCAGGGTCAGTAGGGGGCCCCATGAGATGTCCCTGGTACCTTTTTCATAGGCTTTTTTGAGTTTGGGTAAGGACACAGGGGCCCCATGATCCCCTATTGCCCGGGGGCCCATGAGTTGTCAGTCCGCCCCTGCACCCATGCGATACAATTCTGCACATCTCACCGCATTTTGCGAAATGATTTCGGGGTGTTGTTAATAGACACACCCACATGAACGGGGTGCGACTGTGATGCGGTGCGGAATTCTCACAGAAACCACTGCGAAGGATGAACCCGGGATAAAGGTGGAAAAAATTCTGAAATTATTTAAATGGTTAGCACTTCCGCCTGGCAGTACTCGGGTCGTCAGTTCGAATCCCAACCACGGCACCACCTGCCTGGAGTTTGCATGTTCTCCCTGTGCCTGTGTGGATTTCCTCCAGGTAACTAATCCGGTTTCCTCCCATTTTCCAAAGACATGCTGGAAGGTGAATTGGCTTCTTTCTAAACTATCCCTAGTATGTGTATGTATGAATGTGAGGTTAGAGTTAGGTACCTTAGATTGTACGCCCCCCTTGAGGGTTAGGGGGACCTTAGATTGTACACCCCTTGAGGTAACGCCCCTTGAGGGTTAGGGACCTTAGATTGTACGCCCCTTGAGGGTTAGGGACCTTAGTTTGTATACCCCTTGAGGGTTAGGGACCTTAGATTGTACGCCCCTTGAGGGTTAGGGACCTTAGTTTGTACGCCCCTTGAGGGTTAGGGACCTTAGATTGTACGCCCCTTGAGGGTTAGGGACCCCATTAGGGTTAGGGACCTTAGATACCCCTTGAGGGTTAGGGACCTTAGATTGTACGCCCCATTGAGGGTTAGGGACCTTAGATTGTACGCCCCTTGAGGGTTAGGGACCTCAGATTGTACGCCCCTTGAGGGTTAGGGACCTCAGATTGTACGCCCCTTGAGGGTTAGGGACCTTAGATTCACCCCTTGAGGGTTAGGGACCTTAGATTGTACACCCCTTGAGGGTTAGGGACCTTAGATTGTACGCCCCTTGAGGGTTAGAGACTGATGTGAATGTACAATATATATGTAAAGTGCTGCGTAAATTGATGGCGCTATATAAGTACCTGAAATTAATAAATAAATCTTTATCTCATTTTTTACAGCACAGAAACCTGACATTTTAACAGGGGTGTGTAGACTTTTTATATCCACTGTAGATGAGGAGTGAGCGTTGTCACCCCAGGACAGGAAGTGTGTTACAGGCAGGATCACCAGGTTTTTACCAAGTAAAAGGGGAGAAAAAAGAAAACGAATGCAGCCAACACGTCTAAGAACTGGTAAGCTTCAATACCAGGGACGGACTGACCATTTGGAAACTCGGGCGCTGCCCGAGGGCCCGGGGTCAGTAGGGGGCCCCATGAGATGCCCCTGGTACCTTTTTTCATAGGCTTTTTTGAGTTTGGGCAAGGACACAGGGGCCCCATGATCCCCTATTGCCCGGGGGCCCCATGAGTTGTCAGTCCGCCCCGGTTCAATACACTACATTTTGTCTAGGTTTGGGATATGCTGTAAGCCCTATAACTCCACATAAAATGCAGCCGTGCTGTAAAGAGAGGAGCCCGCGCTGTGTATTTAGTGGGGCCCGCTAGTTACAAAGCAATATGCTAATGAATGTGAACAGAGCTGACCCATTAAAAATTTACAGCCCCTGAACCTTGTGCCTTATCATCAAGTTGTTATGGAGCAGACATTAGACGTCAGGGTCTTGAAAGAACAGCAGAAAAAAATAATCTGCATTTCGATCTGAAAAGAAACAATAAAGCCCCCCCCCCCATATAATTCATGTGAAGGGTGTACACAATGCCCCCCCCCCCCCCCATCATTTATTACCAGGACTCTGGAGACTGGACCTGCCACCTACACCCATGCAATACGTACAACAGATGTGTTACACCGGGTGCAATGCTGCCTAGAGACACTTTTTTTTTTTACCAAAAAACAACAAATTGAAGGCGATGGAAATCCTAAAGCAATGTTTCTCAACTCTGGTTCTGTTTTGGCACCCCTTAAGCGCTGGTTCACATTGATGCGATGCGGGAAACGCAGTGAATTCTGTGCATTTCCTGCACCACAGTGCAATTGCACGGCATCCATACAAACCTGCTGCGGGTATCAATTGTAAATTAATGACACCCCAAAACAGACCGCAAAATGCAGTGCGACTGCCAGACTCGGATCGCATGGATGTTCTCAGAGGTCTCCCATCACATCAGAGGTCCTCCCATCAAATCAGAGGTCCTTCATCACATCAGAAATCTCCCATCATGTCATAGGTTCTCCATCACATCAGTGGTTCTCCCATCACGTCAGAGTTTCTCCCATCACATCGGTTCTCCCATCACATCATAGTCCTCCATCACATCAGAGGTTCTCCCATCACATCAGAGGTCCCCCCATCACATCAGAGGTCCTCCATCACATGTGAGGTCTCCATCAGGTCCTCCATCACATCAGAAATCTCCCATCGTGTCATAGGTTCCCCCATCACATCAGAGGTCCTCCCCATCCCATCACATCAGAGGTCCTCCATCAGCATCAGAGGTTCTCCATCGCATCAGAAGTCCTCCCATCACATCAGAGTTTCTCCCATCATCACATCAGAGGTCCTCCATCACATCAGAGGTCCTCCCCCCATCACATCAGAATCCTCCATCCATCATCACATCAGAAATCTCCCATCGTGTCATAGGTTCCCCCATCACATCAGAGGTCCTCCCATCACATCAGAGGTCCTCCATCGTGTCATTGGTTCATCAGAAGTCCTATCACATCAGTGGTTTCTCCCATCACATCAGAGGTACCCCCCATCACATCAGAGGTCCTCCATCATCACATCAGTCAGGTCCATCACATCAGAGGTCCCCCCATCACATCAGAGAGTCCTCCCATCACATCAGAGAGGTCCTCCCATCACATCAGAGGTTCTCCTTTCACATCAGAGGTCTTCCTATCACATAAGAGGTCTTCCATCACATCCGTTATCCTCCTATCACATCAGAGGCCTCTCTTCGCATCAGAGATCCCCCATCACATCAGAATGTTCTCTCTTTACGTTATGTCCCCCCCCTTACAATAAAGTTTTCCCTTTACATCAGAGCCCTTAATTAAACTGTCCCCCCCCAACACATCAGAGGTCCCCCAACACTTTACAGGTTCCCCCCATCACATCAGAAATTATCCTATTACATCAGAGGTCCCCTATCACATCAGAGGTCCTCCTATCACATCAGAGGTGTTCCTATCACATCAGAGGTCCTTCCATCGCATCAGAGGTCCTTCCATCGCATCAGAGATTCTCCCATCACATTAGAAGTCCTCCCATCACATCAGAAATCCCCCATCATGTCATAGGTTCTCCCCCATCATATCAGAGGTACTCCACGAGGTCTTCCTATCACATGAGAGGTCTCCCATCACATTAGTTATCCTCCTATCACATCAGAGGCCACTCCGCATCAGAGATCCCCCATCACATCAGAATGTTCTCTCTTTACATTAAGTCCGCCCCTTACAACAAAGTCTCCCCTTTACATCAGAACCCTTAATTAAACTGTCCCACATCACATCAGAGGTCCTCTATCACATCAGAGGTCCCTCCCATGACATCAGAGGTCCTCCATCACATCAGAGGTTCTCCAATCACATCAGAGATCCCTCCCATCACATCAGAGGTCCCCCTCCCCCATCACATTAGAGTTCCCCATCACATCAGAGGTCCCCCAACACTTTACAGGTTCCCCCCATCACATCAGAGATTATCCCATTACATCAGAGGTCCCCTATCACATCAGAGGTCCTCCTATCACATCAGAGGTCTTCCTATCACATTAGAAATCCCCCATCGTGTCATAGGTTCTCCCATCACATCAGTGGTTCTCACATCACATCAGAGGTACCCCCCATCATGTCATAGGTGCTCCTTTCACATTAGAGGTCTTCCTATCACATCAGAGGTCTTCATATCACATCAGAAATCCCCCATCATGTCATAGGTTCTCCTATCCCATCAGTGGTTCTCCCATCACATCAGAGGTCTTCCCATCACATCAGAGGTCTTCCCATCACATCAGAGGTCTCCCATCACATCAGAGGTCTCCTATCACATCAGTTATCCTCCTATCACATCAGAGGCCTCCCTTCGCATCAGAGATCCCCCATCACATCAGAATGTTCTCTCTTTACATTAAGCCCCCCCCCCCTTACAACAAGTTCTCTCCTTTACATCAAACCCTTAATTAAACTGTCCCCCATCACAGAAACCCCCCCCCCAAGTCATACAGGACCCTCCCCAACACAGAGTCCCCCAGAAATTTTTTCATACAAATATATTCAATAACCATGAAGGATATAAATCCATCCCATGTGCACCAAATGCCTTTGTAACCCAGATATTACCTAGTAAAAACAGCAGTGACATCATCGCCATGCTATACATGGCCTGCGCAGGACTGTGAGAGAGACCCAGTAGGCCTCACCCACTACAGATAACTACAGGAGGGGGCAGAGACAAGACCAGTCACCCTGCACAAGGAGAGAGAGCAGCAATGACCGGTCTTTGGTAAAGGAAGCTCCTTTACAGAGGTAATGTGTCACACTGAATTACTGAACAGAACTGGAAGAAATACGCAAAGAACACCAAGATTCAAGGAAGAATACACATGACGAATGTATTTAGACAATATTCGGTTATTCTAGAGTACAGCTTTAATAGGAAGCAATTTTAGAAGTACAGCCAAGCTAAAATGCCCCTGTAACTCCACCTTGAACCCCAAAACCAAATGCTCAAATCAACTGAATGAGAACCAACATTTTTCACAAGCTCTGAAAATTGGTTACAAAACCTCAACCAGTAAGCCAATAGAAAACGTTTTACCCTGAACACGTCTCTTCCGTTACAATCCAGTTTCATGAATTGCTTCCTTGGCTTTGAAATCCTCCTTCGCATCCTCGGAGTCTCGCGTAAAAAAATCCCATCATTCCCTTTGTGCCGCTCAGCAGATTCAAAAACGAACCCAATGCCTTTGATACCCAAAGGGTTACTCTTCCGACTGATAACGCCACGTAGATAAAGCGGCAAATGAGAAAAAGGGTAGCATAACATTAAATGCAAGAGACACATTACCACACTTGTCTTAAATTGATATTTAATTAAAAAGTTAATTATTAATTAAGTTTATCAATTGCAGAATCAGTTGTTCAATAGAAAAGAGCTCATTCATTTAATTATCTGTGTGCGGCTGATAGGATATGCTTTTTAGCCAGGAAAGGTTATCCCTGAATCTCTGTCAATTTAGATCAGTTTAGCTTCTAATTTATCCAGAGTGCTTCCTTTGCCAGCCTTTTGATTTGATCTATAAATGTTTGCTTACAGAACTGCTAAGTATTAAAGCCTGATCAAATAAAGAGATGGTCTGACTTACATTACATTTACTTAACAAGTCCTTGATGTTTATGTTTCTTCTGTGTGTTTCCTCCCTAATGTCTGAGCTTCGGCTCTGCTAATTAAAGCAGCATTTTATGTTTAGTGGAGGAGGGAAAAATTGCTCTTTCTGCCATCGTTTATAGCATAGTTCATACCGTACCATAATGTACGAGACGCCTGGCATAGTTATTCTAGCATTGCGTTAGTTATGCTACATGGCCGAAAATTCCACAGTTTTAAGGTGTAGCTAAACCCCAAAACAAAAATGTAATAGGTTGCAACTCATCAGGCCTTGGATGTGTTGGCTGCAAAAGGTCCACAGCTCTCACCACAACGCCACTCCCATCTCACCTGTGCATAACCCCCCCACACAGCTCTCACCTCCCATAACCCCCACCCACAGCTCTCACCTCTGTAACCATAACCCCCACCCACAGCTCTCACCTCTGTAACCATAACCCCCACCCACAGCTCTCACCTCTGTAACCATAACCCCCCACCCACAGCTCTCACACCTCTCTCACCTCTGTAACCATAACCCCCCACCCCACAGCTCTCACCTCTGTAACCATAACCCCCACCCACAGCCTCACCCTCTGTAACCATATCTCCCACCCACAGCTCTCACCTCTGTAACCATAACCCCCACCCACAGCTCTCACCTCTGTAACCATAACCCCCACTCACAGCTCTCACCCACAGCTCTCACCTCTGTAACCATAACCCCCACCACAGCTCTCACCTCTGTAACCATAACCCCCACCCACAGCTCTCACCTCTGTAACCATAACCCCCACCCACAGCTCTCACCTCTGTAACCATAACCCCCACCCACAGCTCTCACCTCTGTAACCATAACCCCCACCCACAGCTCTCACCTCTGTAACCATAACCCCCCACCCACAGCTCTCACCTCTGTAACCATAACCCCCCACCCACAGCTCTCACCTCTGTAAACATAACCCCCACTCACAGCTCTCACCTCTGTAACCATAACCCCCCACCCACAGCTCTCACCTGGGCAACCA